TATATATATATATATATAATTTGCTGTGCTAACGACACCCACAACCCTCCACAACCATGTCCTGGTAGTTCTTTAATACAACCTTTTCATTTTCATCAAGGTACAACATGGAGATAGCACTGAGCTCTGTTGGGACACAGCACGCCTTAGGGATCTTAGAGTTAACCGAGTTGACCAATGTCTGAACAATGGCGTGATTAGTGGAGTTCAGGTGATCAGCCAAAGGAAAAGGGCATTCCCCGTGGCAATAAAAGGCATGATACCCCGGTGGTGCCACGATCCAATCATTCCACCCCACGTCACTAAAGTCCACATACAAAGGGTGTCTCTTACAGCCGGACTTCAGGCGTTTCCGCTGTTTGTGTTTTGCTTGCCGCTTTTCTCTTCTGTGAAGGGGGTGCCCTTTCCCATCCTGGCCAAAAGTTACTAGCAATGGCCGTATTTGTGACCAACTATGTTCATCTTGGTGCAAAGACCTGCTAATTCTAACGTGTCTCTTGGAGACACCCTGATTCTCCGCTAAGTGGGTTACTTCCACCACAAAGCCATGATTGACGTGTCCCTGTGCGGTCCACCGCGTCACGGCGGGGGTGACGTCAAAGCTTTCCCACCTGCTTGCATTCTGATTCACCAGCCTGGTGTCCAAAAGTCTGATCACGGGGATTTCCGAGATGCTTGGAGCAGGTTTTATAATTTCATAAATATTAATTCGGTGATGGTAACTGCTGCTGTTTTCCAAAGTGTCCTGCATCTGTTCCCGAAAAACCTGAAGTTCTGCTGAAGTTATAAACTCCTCGGTGGGGATAGATGTCAAATTAAAGAAGAACCGCCTGGCTGTTTTTCCATTTGTTTCTGGAAGCTCTTCCAAAGATTCTAATGTGACACAAAAAGATGTAGGAAAAACAAAAACACAATCATTCAGTATGATAAGTTATAACAATGAGCAGTTTAAAACTCTTCATGGTTTGATTTGCAACAAGAAAATAAAAATGGCTCCATAAATATGTAAGTCTCCCTTCTATATGTTCATGTCAATACACATATCATGAGACAAAATTTCATAATGGATCCTAATGCTTTTGACCTGATACATGAACTTTAGCTTCCAGGTGGCTATAATACTGGGCGAAATGGTGAAGCATTTCTCCGGAATTCTGACCTGAGGAGGCAAACAACAGCAACAAAAACAACAACAACAACAACAACAAACACTACAGCACTATAGTTAGTAGAGTTCTAATGAGTGAGGATTTGAGGAAATGATTGCATTTCTAAAAAAATGGAAGGCTTTAATGTCAATCCCTTAAGCAGTATTCTAAAACATTACTCTACAATTTAGATGATTTACAAATCGCAATACACAGATTTCAGTTTCCTAATTAAAGACTCTGAAACTCAACATCAGTGATGACATTTTGCAAAGCACACCCTAGTATTTTACTAAAAATTCTAGAGACAAAGGCATTTATAAGTATCTACTTCTTTGGAAACATTCTGAGTGGCCCTAGGACATTGTAGTAATTACAGCCAAACGATTTTAAGAAAATAGCTCCCCAACTCTGTTGTCTGTTCTCTCACCTCTTTATGACCTCAATCAACATCTCATTACAGATGCTTTTGCAGGAGTTAAAAAAACAAAACAACAACTATCTTCTGCTTTTCTTCCATTGTTCTTTCTTTTTTTAAGAAAATTTTAATAGGCTGTAGGACAGATAAAAAACCAAGGGAGCTTTAGGAAAATATCATTCTGATATTCATGGTATAAGGAAGAATCTCATTCTGCTTTAGAATACTCATTCCATATTTATTATCATTACTTTGAAACGGTAATTTAAAATTAAGACACCTTAATGACATCTAAATTTAAGGAGCAAAGGAAAGCAATATAACACTTTGAATGCATTTTAAGAACACAAATCACTAAATATACATTATTATTGAATTGAATTGAAAGGAGCTCTGGTAGCGTAGTGGTTACGAATTGGGCTGCTAACCTAAGGGTCAACAGTTCGAAACTACCAGCTGTTCTGCGGGAGAAAGATGAGGCTTTTCTGCTCCTGTAAAGATTTACAGCCTCGGTAACCCTGTACAGGGTCGCCATGAGTCAGAACTGACTTCCAGGCACACAACAACAACAACATTGAATTGCTAATAAGAGCAACAGAATGAGATAGTTCCATTTGTTTTCTTCTAGTTTAACCACATAAGGAGCCCTGGTTGTGTAGTGGGTTACATGTTAGGCTGCTAACCTCAAGGTCAGCAGTTCAAACCCACCACACACTCCAGTGGAAGAAACATAACGCGTTCTGCCTCGGATGTCCTATACATGGGTCCTATGAGTTGGAAGTGACTTGATGGCATACAGCAGCAGCAGTTTAACAGCAGGAGATCCTTGGGTAATGCAAACAATTAAGCACTCCACTATTAACCAAACAGCCAAACAGTTGGCAGTTCATATCCACCCAGGGATGCCTTGGAAGCCAGGCCCAATGATCTGCTTCTGAAAGATCACAGCCTTGAGAACACTATGGAGCAAGAACAGTTTTACTCTGCATACATGCATTCATGTGAGTCTGAATCAACTTCACAGCAACTGACAAGTTTTGGCACATACTGTCATTGTAATGTGAAACAAAATGTGCCTATTTCACTAAGTGTCCCAACCTATATTCTTAACAAAAGCTATTTTACCATAGAGTTCCATGTCATCTTAAATGGAGAATATGTTTTCATTACTTTTGAGGTTGTATTTCTCCTTTAAAAAAATAGCTAGAAGTTCAGATCCCTCATTCAAAGGTTCTTCCTACAAACCTTTATCAATGTCAAGTCATCATCAGCACACACTAAAGTGGAAACACCCATCTCAAGAGGTTCCAACTGACACAGCTTCTTAGGCTAGAGGGAACATTAAATCTTCAAATGCAGATTCTGATTCAGTGGGTCTGCTGTGGGGCCTGAAGTTCTGCATTTCTAGCAAGTTGTTAGCTCTGGGACCACACTTTTGAGTATCATGGTCTTAAAGGATGCTTTTCATATTAAAATTACGATTTTGGTAGAAGTATATTTTTAAGTGGAGTCCTGGTGTGGGTTTAACATCAAAGTCGGTGGTTCAAGCTCACCAGCTGCTCCTTGGAAACCCTATGCAGGGGCACTACCGAGTTGGAACCGATTCGAAGACACTTACTAATAAGAACAACATATTTTTAAGTGCCTTTTTGTTAAATGTAAAAATAAGTAGAATTACTAAGTTTAGGCCAAGGGACAAGAGTTGAGGCCATGGGTGGGCAGTCAGGGATGCAGATCAGAAGGTTGTTCCTAAAGCTGGAGACAGACTAGCAGTTCAAGAAGTGTGCCCCCTTAAACCATCCACTCCTATGGAGTCCTGGTGTGGCACTGTAGCATAAGTACTGAACTGCTAACTGCAAGGTTGGTGGTTCAAACCCACCAGTCACTCCTTAGAAACTCTATATAGAGTTGCTGTGAGTCAGAATCAACTCAATGGCACTTAACAACTACCTTCCCCTCCATGCCAGGTACTATTATTAATATAACCTCCACAATTTATCCAGAAAGCCTTGAGTGGTGCAAAGTTACCATACTCCACTGCTAACTGAAATGTTGGAGGTTCAAAGCCACCCAAAAGTGCCTCAGAAGAAAGTCCTGGTGGTATACTTGCCTCCCAAAATTCAGCCACTAAAAACCATATAAAGTATAGTTTTACTCTTACACACATTAGTCAGAATCAATTAATCAACTGGTTAATTTCACCAGGGCTCCTCTTGATGGTTCCCAACAAGAATCAAGGGTTGTATCTGAAATTCCTTTTCCTCTTCTAGAACGTTCTGCTGTTTCTGCTGAAAGGGCTCTTTCATTAGAAGTCAATAGCTACCAGAGACAAAAGGTGAAAACCAGTAATTTCCCCCAAATCTCTAAAACCCCAAACCTTGACCTGCACTTGAACTACTGACTTCTGGCATCAGGACACCTGAGAACAGCTGCTTTTCCTTAAAAGCAGAGGAAAGGAAAATTACCAAGGATATTTGCAAAGTAATAGATTAATGAAAGCCCTCAGAGAAATCACAACCGCAACAAATACCCTAAATGTAAATCCATAAGGAAAACAGCTAAAAATAAGCACACGCCATTTGTGGTAAACACACACAATCATGCACACAAAAAAAGGAAACAACAAAAAAAATCCTTCTGCAAATTATCTCAGCAAGCATGAGGATTCTGAAAATATGGAGCATTAAACCTTAGCACATAACATATTTTTTAGAAGCTTATACAATTGTTACAGAGCTCTGGTAGTGTAGTGGTTACGAACAGGGCTGCGAGCCTTAAGGTCAGCAGTTCGAAACTACCAGCTGTTCTGCAGGAGAAAGATGAGGCGTTCTGCTCCTGTAAAGATTTACAGCCTCGGAAACCCTGTACAAGGTCACTATGAGTCGGAACAGACTCCAGGGCACATCATGATACAATTGTTAATGGCCTGTGAGTATCTCTTGTTGATAAGCAAAATTTGCCAAGGGACTTGAAAATTCTGCCTTTCATTGCGGAGTCTCCAAATTCTTAACTAAATGGATAAAGCTGTGTTTGCAAAAATGTGGAAAAGAAAATTAAGGTGATTAAGACATGTGTATTCTCCAAAAGTAAAGTCTTCACTTAATCATGGTGGTGTTGTTGTATACCACTGAGTTGGTTCCCACTCATAACGATTCTGTACAGGGTTTCTGAGAGTGGCTGGTAGGTTTAAATTACCGACCTTATGATTACTAATCCAATGCTTCTCCTACAACGCTCATCACACCAGAGCTCAATTTAGTCATATACACTGTCAATTATATATCTACCTCCAAAAATCCAAGACAGAGCTGTGTTTTCTTAACCTTTACCTACATTAGCCAGTCTATGTCCAGTCTGCTTTCTTCCTTAGACCAGGGCAGAATATGACATAAAAGAAAAAAGTCATAATAAGGATGCTATCTAATGTCTACTGAATGCTTTTTATGTGCCAGGTCTGGCACTAACAGCTTTCTATGAATTATCTCACAACAAACCAAGTAGAGAGGAGCTCTTATTACTGCTTTTTAAAATGAAATTGATATCAGAGAAGTTAAGTAACTTGCCAAAGGTCACAGAACTAGTAAATGAAGAACAGAACTATGGAAAGAGTACAGCAGATGCCAAGTTTCTAAGTAGCAGACTGTACTACCTAATGTTGTTGTTATTGTTGTTAAGTGCCGTTCAGTCAGTTCCAACTCATAGTGACCCTGGATCTGGTTTGCAAGTTGCTGGGTTTGAACTGCCAGACTCACGGTTTGATGTTGAGTGCTTATCCTATAACATTGCCGTTGTTGTTTTTAAGTGCCACCAAACAAGTTCTGATTCATAGTGACCCTGTATAGGATTTCCAAGGAGCAGCTGGTGGGTTTGAACTGCCAACCTTGTAGTTCAAAGCCCAGTGCTGATCACACAGTGCCACACCAGGAGGAGTCAGAAAATCAAGGAAAATGGACTACTATCAGGAAACACAAATTTCCCATCAGAGTACCATAGAGACAGCAAGAGAACCAGAAGAACAAAAGAGACAGACATGCAGGTTACACTAGAACAATCTTGTTTAAAACTTAGGATCTCCTAAGGCTCGTTTCTGTCCTAACTTGGTAGTACAGTTAACTCACTTGGATGTTAATTAAAAGGTTAGAGGTTTGAGTCTACCCAGGTACCTCACAAGAATCTACTTATGAAAAACCAGCCATTGAAAACCTATGGAGCAGAGTCCTATGATGACATACAAAGTGTCATCCATAAGTTGAAGTCAACTTGATAGCAACTGGTTTTTATACTTAAATATGCCACCAAGTTGCAAAAAGTGAGTTATTATTATGTTTTGAGAATTTTGCAGCATTTTTTGGCAGTAAACAACTACTAAAACAACCCCCAAATCTGGAAGATCAGTAAGGTTAGAAATCACTGTTCTAAAATAAAATGAAAGTGGCTGAGAGTCGGAGAATTGATAACGTCAAGGAGAAAAAGGAGAAACCCTCAGGGTTAAATAGAATCAAGCTTCTTTCTAAGAGAAATAAAGAAGTGCCAACAGAAGGGAAAAAAAAAATGGTCAACATCACTAAAGTCGATTTGGCCTCTGCCCACCCTTCACTTCAATACCTGTGAAATGATCATAGAGCTCGCTAAAGGGATACCACTAAATTCTCTGTGGAGTCATGGTGTGGCATTGTAGGATCAGCACTCGATTGGTAGTTCAAATCCACCAACCGCTCCTTGGAAACACTCTACAGAATTGCTATGAATCAGAATTGACTCAGTGGCACTTAGTAACAACTAAAGAAGAGGTAGAACAGAAATTGTCAGTGCCAAGGAACTACCAACCACCAAAGCCTCAACCCCAATAAACATTGATTTGCAAGTAGAATAACTGTTCCACTTAATGGACTTGTCACAATCACACTGAAACACCTGCAGACCTAGGAAAGTACACCAGAGAAGTACAGGTTTCAGGATCTATGTGTTTAAATCCTTTGGGTACACTAGGAATTTGTGGCAAAAGTTCTCCTAACAAGACAATGGCTGTTTGACTTTCTTACACACCGTCTCAAGATCATTAAATTTTTATGTGTTGCTCTTATTGTTCTTAAGTGTTGTCAAGTGGGTTCCCACTCATAGAGATCCTGTATAGGGTTTCAGAACTGCAGACCTTTTAGTTCAAAGTGACCTTCCAGTCCAGTACTTATACTAAAGCAACACACCAGGACTCTGTAATTAAATTTGTAGATGCAGGATTAATCACTATCTGAAAGATTTAGCTAGAGAGGAAAAGAATTCACCTACTTCACTGCAAAAGGAAGACAGTCAGTCAATATGGTTCTTTAGCACAGGAAAGCACAAAGCACCCATTCCACTTGGAGAAGTGAGTTTTCTATTCCCCACGGAAGCTTTGAAAGATCTATGTGGCTTAAGCATTTTCAATGCCTTTGAGAAAAAAGGAAAAGTTGAGCAAAGCTTGGGCTCTCCCAGATAAAAGTCAATGTATAAAGGCAAGACTACAACTATAAAGTTCAATAGGAAAAAAATGACAAGTGACAATTTTGTCTCAGATTGCCTACCATGAAGTTCCATTATCTTAACAGTGACTGAAAGAACCCCACCAAGATATCTCTTGTCTCATAACTCCATCACACCATCTGGATCCCACCCACAGAGTCAACAGATTAATTCTTATAATGGGGTCCTTTACCAAATAAATGCCATTAATGGTATGTAAACCAAATTCTACTCTTAAGCAAGTAGTCTTAATCCCAGGTTTACTAAACTTCTGAGTAAAGATGCATGCTACAAAGATATTAATAATACACAAATCTTGGATTACACGATAAAATGGTCCTCATAAAGCACTATATGCCGTCTAATGCTGATATAATAATCGTAAACAAAAAAAGAAACGGATTTTTGAAACCGGGGCAAAAATGACATTAGTTTTTTTCTGCCATCATTTACACAAAAGATCTGAACTAATTGCAAGTTTATTTTAAGCAAGTTGGTAACTTGCATATTATGTGTATATGCCATATATACTTTTAAAGATAAAAATTCAGAGTTAAAAAATCAAGAATCTTTTAAAATTGAAATAGCACAATTAATCTATATCCTGTTTCATTGTTGATCAAGCCACTTCTGTAGGAAGAATGACTTCACTGATGAAAGACATACAATTGGTTTAAGTCAAGTGACTTAACTGATTTTCCTTTTAAATTCTGAGGCACACAGAACCTACTTGGCCTTTAGGAAAGTTAAGAATTTCAACTTTAAGATTTCTATGTTAAATTTCCAGGAAGTGGCTAAACAGTTATTGCTACTTTTCCCTCCAGAAAAATTCTTTAATCAGCACTAGTTAGAACAGAGGAACTGGTTCTATAATAGTCCTACAGTTAGGGGGACAAGGTTGACAGTTCAAACCCACCAGCTGCTCCTCGGAAACCCTAGACAGGGTCACTATGAATTGGAAGTGACTCAACAGCACTTAACAACAACAAGGGTGACAGAATGTACCAAGTGACAACATTTCTGCCCATGACAGACTTCTTTCAGTGGATGGAATCTGAAGGAGTAAGTAAATTGAGATCTTAATGCTTTGCACATCTGATTTCTGCTAGCAGAAAGTATTTCACTTAAGTGTGTTTGAAATGAATTTTATTGATGGGAGTCCCTGGAAGGTATAAATGATTAATAGGCTCAGCAGCTAACCTGAAAAGTTGGAGGTTCAAGTCCACCCAGAAACAGCTCTGAAGAAAGGTCTGGTATCTACTGTTTGAAAAATCAGCTACTGAAAATTCAATAGAGCAGTACTGCTGTGACACACATGAGATCACCAAAAGTTGGAGTTGACTCAAGGGCAACCACCTTTCTTAATGTCTAGGTGTCTCAATGAAGATGTAATTTTGTTGCGTGACCCGCCTTTGGGGCTTTTTACTATTGTAAACCAACATTCTCATATGTGTAAGCCATCGATTCATACTGGGAGAAAATGCGTAGCTATAACCTTTCTGATTTGTTTATATCATAGTATAGACTTCCTCAGTAGGACAAGCTAAGAAAAAGACAATTTTATTTCTAACTCTCCAATATCTTACAAGTGGTTGCTCTAGGATATATACTTGTACAACTTTGTACCCTTTTCTAGAACTGAGAGAACCTGTGTTCTATTTATGGTTAAGCCAATCAGGCATTCAAAAGTGGAAAAGATTTGGTGTGGAACATGTTTTTAATTAATTGCTCTAAGAATGTAGGTACAGCAGTCTCAACAGCTTCTCTAATACACTACAAATCCGCTAAATGCCTTATTTGATGAAATATTCAGAGATGTCCTACCCTAAATTTCATTCAGTATCATGACAGAAAAATTCACACTTCAATGCACATTAAGGAAAACAGGCAGCTGCTGGTAAGATTTTATTTGAAGGCTTGCCTTGTCTCTATCCTGAACCTCTATCAGACTGAAGCAGAAAGACAAGAAAGTCCTTGTGGAAACAGTAAGATTGATTGTGTAACTGATCTCTCAGAGGGATTAAATAGGGATTCAAAATCTTCCAGAACCAGACCCACATCAACTGTAAATTAGAAAGATTTGGAGGCTCTGTGCTTTGATTTTAAAAAGCCATCTCTGAAAATTCTCTGCTTGGCTCTGTCTCGCCTAAAACTCCTGCTTAAACAGGAGAAGCAGATGTACAAAGCAAGGGCTTCCAAACAGACTTAAATTCCAACCAGTTCTCCTCTTCCCATATGGAAATCTTGCATTTTTAGCGTAGTGGTTATGAATTGGACTGCTAACTTCAGGGTCAGCAGTTCGAAACTACCAGCTGTTGGGAGGGAGAAAGATGAGGCTTTCTGCTCCCGTAAAGATTTACAGCCTTGGAAACCCTGTACAGGGTCGCTATAAATCGGAACCGATTCCACGGCACACAACAACATATGGGTAGGGGTGGCGCTGAGTTGATGCGCTGGACTTCAAAGTCGGTTTGAACTGCAACGTCAGCAGTTCAAGCTCGCCAGCCGCTCCTTAGAAACCCTATACAGGGTTGTTGTGGGTCGGAACTGACTCGACGGCACTTAGCAACAACAACAACATAGTATAAGGGCATGCCTTTTGCCCTCATTTCCCCCATCACTTGATTTCTCTCCAGTTCTTGGGGGAGGAGTCGCTCTTCTGGCTTCAAGCCAGGAAAAGGGTGCGGACTTACCAAAGGGGAATCCCTGGCTCTCCTCCATACACAGTGCATTAGCTGTGTGTTAAATAAAGCCAGGATCTGAAAGGACCTTAGAGGCAAAAGTGGAAATATCTGCTGCGCTCTGACCCAACAGTCCCTCTAGGGATGTCTGCAGACTGCCCCAAGTGAGGGGCTTTGCAGGGTAACTCCCAACCCGGTGGCCCATTCTCAAACTCCCTGTTCAGAGCCTCACCTTCGTGGTGGAAGCTGCGCACCGTGTTGGCTCGGCTGGCAGCTTTTTCCAGCCTGTGGTCCGGAGCGCGCGCTCCTGGCTGGCCCGAGTGCCGGCGGTACAAGTCCAGCATGTAGGGGGGCACCACGGCGTCCCTGCTTGGGGTGGGTCTCTGCTTCAGGCCGAACATGCTGAGCAGCCGCAACTCGAACTCGCTCAGGACGTCGTCCGAGGGCTGGGAAGAGGAACGGCCCGACGCCGCCGCGAACTTCCTCCGGGCCAGCTCAGGAATGAGGCCGGCCGCGCCGCCCAGGAGGACCTGGGGAAGCAGCAACGCTAGAAGACAGCGGGTCCCGGCCACCATGGTCGACCTGCGGACAGGGCCGACGTGAGTCACCGAGTTCCCCGCCCAACCCCAACCCCTGGTTCACCGCTTGGCCCAGCTGTCTCCGCCAGGGTGTCCACCCGGCTTGCACCACAAGCGGGGTTTTGTCCGCGAGGATGAAAAGCGGACTTTAAGGGGAATGAAGGGTCCCTAGTTCCTGAGCTGGATGATCACTCCTCTCATTCCACTCGCAACCATCTGATTTGGGAGTTTGCTCCCACCACCACCAACAGCGTTAAGGATTGTCCTGGTTTGTTTGTTTTTAATGACACCGCATTGACAGCCAATAGAGGGAACTCGAAGAAACCAATCCTTGGTCCCAACACGGTGCCCATTAAACAACCCAAACACACACAGCCCAGCATTGACTTGCTTACAGACTGACAAATGGTGCATGTGACTTCCTGATACACAGTCTATAAAGTCCAGACCCTGTACAGACAAGGCCACGACTTGCCACTGCCACTTGTAACTTGCGGCCCACGCCCCTAACCTCGGGGTGTCTGGACAAGTCACCTCAACACCCCCACCCCCATCCTTAGTGCAGACAAGATACAAACGCATTTCCCTGGGATTATGTAAATAGCTAATATCTATTACTTCACGTGTCAGCTGTTGAAAATGTAGCACAAGAAAACACTGAATTATTGCCCCTTCGCTTTTCTGGAAACACGGAGAACCCTAACTTTTAGTGATTTCCCAAATGGGAAGTGGCCTTGAGAGCAGATCTCCCGGAGAAGCTTGGAGAAGGAATCGTCTTGATAGGGCGTAACAGGTTGGCAGCTAACGGGTGAAACCTAGGGGCTACTCTAAGGGATTTTTTTTTTTTTTTAAATCTTGTAGTGTTAACAGCCCTAATTAAAAACTGCACTGAGGGGAGGAACGAGGAGCGGAGGAGAGTGGATTACGCAGGAGACACTAGATGGTCACCTCCAGTGGTTGGATGGGGGCATCTTCGCGGGGGGTTCAGCCGCACGTGGACCTGATGGGGACCTGTTTATGTCCGGTCTAATCTGGAGAGAGGCTCAGCCACGGGGGCTCGCACCTAACCCAGCGCCCACGTCCCACCCACGGCCCCGGACCCCGTTTTCTACCTTTAGGAGACCGCAGACCGTCTAAGAAGCACGCGGGGACACGTCCATTGAAAGAGTCTCCACATGGAAAAAACTCTGGCCAAAGGACCTGGCGAGAGGACCCGGTGTCCGCTCCCTTGCTTTTTTACCACCTCTTCTTCCTCTCGAGCGCCGGCCGGTCAGTCCCCCTTTCCGCGCTGGGAACGGCGTCTGGGAGACCAGCCCGGTAAGAGTGAAGCGGCGGCGAGGTTCGAGAGCAAAGAGGCTGGCCCCGCCGGGACAGAAACACCAGCGCGAAATGGGGAGCGCAAATTATTCTGCCTGCAAGTTCAAGAAGTCTCCAGCCAAGTGCTGACACACAACAACTGCGAGCAGGGGGAGGAGTGCGAGGCAGGGAAGGGAAAAGAGAAATACAAAGCTGGTGCTGTAGTCGTCCTTAAGAAGCAGCGCCCGCGGGACGCGTGGCCCCGCGCAGGGTCGACTCCGGGACGCTGGGAATAAAAATCGGGCGCTCAGTGCTAGCTCCTCCGAGGCCCATGACTCCGGGCAGCCATCCTGATCGACGCCGGGTCCGGGGAGGGGCGCAGCGGCAGCGGCGATCTTGATGCTTGGCGAGTTGCCCCCCCGCATCACTCTGCCTTACTCCAGTGCACCCCCATTCGCGTTTGCCAGTTGAAAACTCTGCGGCTCCGATGCCCCGTCGTCCTCCAGCGCATTCTCTCGCGAATCGAGCCGAGTCCCGGGCCACCGAGGCGGGTGACCGCGCTCTCTTCTCCTTTTCCTAGTCCCCGGGGCCAAGTTGTCTTGCGCTTTGTGGCCAGCCTAGGGTCTGATCACACCACGGCTAGAGTGTCAAGAACCCCCGAGCTCCTGCTGGGGGTGCTGGGCATCGCGGCGCTTGAGCTCGGTTCTCGGATCTCCGGCGCTTGTCGCGACTGTCCGCGGTTTCGGTGCGGCCCTAAGAGTCGAGGCCACCGCACTGTGGCGCGCACGATCAGGCGCTCCAGTCCGCGCTGAGTCCGCGACACAGAGATGCCTCGGAGCCCTCACTGATCCTCGCGGCTCTAGTCCCCGAAGGAGTTCGGGTCGGCTACCGAGGCTGATGTCCAGCGGTGGCGGCCAATCCCCAGCGGAGTGTGGGAAGCCGACTGGCGGGCGCAGCGCGAGCCGGGCGCAGCGCGGCGCGGCAGGGCGAGGACTCCGGCGGCTGCGGCGGCGCCGAGGCGCGGCGCTCGCGGCTTTTAAAGGGGACGCCGCCCGCTCGCTCCCTTACGGCCTCAGCCGAACACCTCCCCCCTCGGCGCGGGATCCCCGAGCGGGCGGGAGCAGCGCGCAGGGGTGTGGACGGCGCGCCGGGGCAGCCGCGGAGGGGTGGGGCGGAGGGCGGGGGCAGTGCGGCCACCGAGGGGGGCGCGTGCGTCTCCACCCACTGCCCTCACTGGGGAGATGAACGAGAGCTCCGGGTCCTAGCGGGGACTCCGGCAGCGAAATGCCGGGCAAATAAAGGTAGAGCCCCTGTTTCTCCCACGGGGCCCGTTATTCAACTATAACTTGGAACTTTTTCGGCAATAAGAGATTAAAAAACAACCACCACCACCACAACAAAAAACAAAACTCAACCAAGTGACAGAACATCTTGGGATAGGCGAGACATGGACACTAAAGTTTTCCTGGCAGTTAAGAAGTGATGTGTTGGTAGGAGTGCGGGGGAGGGGGGACTTGAAAGAAAATTAGAGAGTGGAAACTGTTGTTATTTAAACCTTAACCCACAGATATATGCATTTAAATTCATAGAGACATATGTAGAGTTTTATACTAGTATAAATATACATCTGTTTTTATTCGTATGAATAGGTTGCAATCAGAAACCGTATACAGGGTCGCTGTGAGTCAGAACAGACTCGATGGCACTTAACACACACACATATAAATCTAAGCCCATGGGTGTATATATATATATTTATATGTAAAGGAAGGAGGTCATTTCTAGAAATATGTCTACAGATGTGAAATGGATGTCACCCCGCTGTATACGATTTCTGCTACCTGGGTTATGTGTGTGGTGAATTGAAGAACGGATAAGAGGGATTTTATTTCGTTTTTTGGTAGCAATCTCTTCGGGATGCGATAATTATCTCGTCCAGCCCTGGGGTTAGCGATTAGCAGCTCAGAGGAATAATGCACAGCATGAATCCAGGCTTGCAAGACAATTATGATTTGGGACTCAGAACCTTCCTCCCCCAACAGTGGCGCTGTAAAGAGTGGTCAAGTTACTTGTACTCTTCCGCTCAAATATTCCCCAAACCTGCTACCACAGGAATCTAGGGCCTAGGATTTTGGTTCCTGTCAGGATTCCAGGAGCCCCCATGGGTAACACTACGGGTTACCCAAATGATCCCAGAAGCCCAAGGCTAGAAAATTCTGGAAAAGGCCTGACCAACAGAGTCAGGTTCACTTACAATGTAGTCTTCTTGCCTTTAGGTAGAGAGGAAAAAAGTCAGATGTGGAATCTAAGAATAATCTACTATCCATGTGTATGTTATTCTTTTTGTTTAAGAAGCTAAAATAATTCTAGGTTCTGCTCACATAAATCGGATTAGCATCCCACAGAGGAAGAATTAAGCACTCACTGTTGCAGAAGGTATAAAGGTCAAATAAGGTATTTTGGAGGAAGTCTGATTACTAGGAAGAGAAAAAGGAGGTAGGGGGAAAGCAAAGAGGTATAAAATATTCAGAAACGTGCTACTTGAAAATAAAGAACTAAAGAAGCTGACTGTCAGCCTGAATTATTTGACACCAAACAAGTAGGCAATAAATTATATTCTACTCATAGACACTTAAATCTCAAAGTGTTTATTGTGCTTCTGAAACTATTTCCTTCCCTATCAAACTTAATTGAGGAGTTAACAATTGTTCCTGTCATCAGTGAGATTTAAAAAACAAAACCTATATGAGACTTAAATCAGTATGTAGTTTTTAAAGAGCAAAGGAAAGTTGATAGCTGTTGGAAGCACCCCAAGAAAAAAAGAAAAATAAATCTTTGGTGAGGACATCGAGGATGTCTTGCAGCTTAGGCCTTTATAGTATAAGAAATGGGAACCTTGTCTCTTTAAAGAATACTGTCCCATAGTCAAAATCAGAAAGAAAGCTGGCACTTCTGAAGCCCTATTCCATTTTCATGTTGCCCACCACAGCGTCTCTTTTAGGATGAATAACTGCCTTAGCACCAACTTCCTAAATGATGGTCCTATTTCGCCTAAGCGTAAGGCTGTTTGTTTTTTAGAGATGGCTGCCCTCTTGTGGTGGAAATGAGTCAGAACACTTGGGTGAAAATGAAGTCAATGAATGAATGAATGAACGAATTAATGAACGAACGAATCTTCTCCAAACACTGACAAGCTTTACAATGTTTAGGATGATCATACCTACCAGTTTTTCAATAACGAGCAATGTTGTTGTTGTGGTCATCAAGTTGCTTCTGACTCACGTTGTTATCATTGTTAAGGGCCTTAGTGTTGACACTCATGTTGTTGTTGTTAAATGCCTTGGAGTAGCGACCCTGCACAGGGTTTCCGAGGCTGTAAATCTTTACGGGAGCAGAACGCCTCCTCTTTCTCCCGCGGAACCGCTGGTAGTTTCGAACTGCTGACCTTGATATCGACCCTATATAGGGTGCCTGAAAAGGAGCAGCTGGTGGATTTGAAATGCTGACCTTGTGGTTCACAGGCCAGTGCTGATCATATCCTGTATAAGGTTTCCAAGGAGTGGTTGGGGAGCTTGAACCGCCAACCTTAAGGTTCAACCGACCTTGCAGTCCAGTGCACTAACCCACACAGCACCACACCACAACAATTAAAAAGGACAACCTAAATGGAGATGATCTATCTCTTTATTCAGTGCTAATATCTGCCCTTCACCTGCAACTCAGAATACTGTCACTTTGTGGTGACCGTGTCTGTTTTGTTGACTTTGAAAATTTCACTTCAGCCGAGGATGAAATTTATTTTTTTCTGGGTTCATCAGATTCAATATATCTGGTAGAGAAAGCTGGGATTGGGGTAAGAGTATTGGTGTTTGGAAAAATTCAAATAATTCAGCGAGGTCATGCAAGTTATGTAAAAAGCAAAGCCCAGCAGGCAAGGTTACTATATAAAGAAGTTGCTGTCATTCTAAGGAGCCCATGGTGGTGCTCTGGGGTAGTCACTGGTTCAAACCCACTAGCCACTCCACTCGAGAAAGATGAGGTTTTTGGCTCCCATTAGACTTCCTGTGAGTTGGGATTGCCATGAAGACAGCAGGTTTGTTTGTTTCTCTGTTATTCCATTCCAGCCATTTCTTGCTAGATTCACGAGATACTGTAAATCTATATTTCAGTATACTTGAACATAACCCAGGATAAAATTAAGTGCTTAAAAAGTCATATTTTGGCGACTTTTCATTTAATAGTTCAGCTCAGATAATGTTCAATTTGATTGCATCCTGCAGCTAGCATTCAGGATTGTTCCTGCTAGGCCATCTATTATGCAAATTAATATTAAAATAATGATCTCCACTATTGCAAAGGTCACAGCAGGTATTAAATGATCCATCTATTATGTAATTGTCATTCCATTGAAACCTAGGGCAACTTCCCAGAGATGCCGCTTGGCATTTTAACATACATGTTGTTGTTGTTAAGTACCCTGGAGTCATCCATTTATGGTGATCCTGCACTGGATTTCCCAGGTTGTAAATCTTTACAGGAGCAGAAAGCCTCATCTTTCTCCTGCGGAATAGCTGATAATTTCGAACTGCTGACCTTGATGTTTGCAGCCCGATGATTTATAACCACTATGCTACCAGAGCTCCTTTAACACACATAGCAATTTATTATTATTGGAACACCCAAAACCAATTCTACTTCCTTCTCTTGAATCAGGGTTTCTTTGTTTTTTTTTCCCATAGGAACCAGGAGCCACTGAAAAAGAAGGAGCAACAACTAATTTGAATCTAACTCTTACCCATTTGATGTGTGGTTAGATATGATAGGATGTTGTTGTGAAGTGCTGTCGAGTCGGTTCCAACCCATGTTGTTGTTGTTGCTAAGTGCCGTTGAGTCGATTGCGACCCATAGCGACCCTGTATCGGGTTTCCAAGGAGCAGCTGGTGAGCTTGAACCACCGACCTGGCAGTTCAAACAACTTTGCAGTCTGATGCATTAACCCACAGTGCCACACCAGGACTACTGGGTGATTTGTATGCAAAACTTTGACAAGAAGGCTAAATCAGAGGCATTGCTTCAGGCAAACATGGCTACATCTTAAAATCAAGGGAAATGAATTCTATGAATTAACTAGGCTGTG